GAAAATAGCGGTTCTCATAAATTCGTCATCGCTCAGCCTTCTAATACTGTCTACACAAGCTACTTGTTTGTTCTCTGATTTACCTTTACATTCACTGTAATTATGTCCCATTTCCCCGCATCGGAAACACGAACCTTTCTCTCTTCGGGCTTCCTTGCAGTTCTTAGAGATGTGCCCGTACTTGCTGCAGTTGTAGCACCTTGCTTTCGTCTGCCATGCATTTTCATCCTGGGGAAGGCTGCTCTTAATCGGTGTAGACAACGATCTGCTTTCCCTTGATTCCACTTTGTTTCCTGTTGATTCACGGGGTGGTCGATTTCTTCCATCCGTCAAGGTAATACTTTCAAATGCAGCCAATAAGTCCAGTGTTGTTGAAAAATTCTGCATTCTGGCTTGATTTCGGAGTTGTCTATCCGGAATTCCTTCCACTATATAGTCGATCATCTCCTCTTCTGCCACAGGAACATGATTACCAAGAATAATTTTCTCATGATAGTATACACTGAACAATTCATTCGTCTTCCAAACTCTGTCCTCGAATTTCTTTCTTAGCACCAATCTAGTTTCCCTTCTTCCAAACATCTTCTTCATCTCCTCCAGCAATTGATCGGTATCCATTTCAATGTGTTCTGGTCGAGAATGAAACCACTTTAACGCTTGCCCTTTCAATCTCGTACCAATTAAAATTTTTGTCGCACTATCATCGAGATTATAGGTTGTACGTAATAGCCTAACTTGCTTCTCCCAATTACAGAACAGCTCACTGAGGCCATCGAAATCACTTAATAAATCACTGACGGATTTTATACCAATTTTCGTCTCCGTTGCGGAAATAGTTGATCTTGGCGAATTTCTTAAAAGTTCGTTCTCACGCTGCAGCAGTCTCAACTCTCTTTCCATTAGCTGTTTCTCCCGTAATAAAAAATCAAACTCGTACGCCCTGTCATTACTTACACGACGATTATGACTATCACTTGCAGTCGCATTAGCAACATCATCACTTATATTATCGGTCTGGAATATATCCTCCTCTGGTAGCAAGCTAGCATCCCTTATCCAGCTTCCACTAGGATCCATTTCTTGTAATCTTGCGATTAACTCGTTTTTCGTTCCGGAAGTGGGTAACCCTCGTTTTAGCAATACCTTTTTTAATTGCACTACTTTCAAATCATTAGGATTCACCATTTTGTCGTCAAGTCAATATACACTTTTCACTACTGTTCTTCACAAATATTCAACGTCACGGCCACTATCAAATCAATTCAATTAACCAATATCAATCACACACGGAAGTTCTATATGAGCACAATCCCACTTCTGAAATTGTAAGGAGGCCTTGGTTTGAGGGCGAAGAATGACGCGCAATAAACCTTGATATTGATTTTAATGTGAATATTGTATAAAGAATTTGTCGGAAGCGTAGCCGTGCACGTCTCGATCGTCTCTCGACCGATTCTCGATTCACTCTGCCTTCTTTTCTCGTCGGCCGGTCTTTCGCCCTGCCGAATCAAAGGATGCCGACTCCCGTGTCATTTGACCACTTCGGCAACAATGTTTACCGTATCTTATAC